TGTACATCTGTATTGTATGTATTTTATTCGTGGTTTAGTGATGTTGAAGGTGGAGGGGTTACCAGCCCCTCGCACCCGTCCAGAGCTCCCGTTTAGCCCCTGTGGTGGTCATAGACGCCATGAGGGGAGGAGCCAATCGGAATTGGCCCTCCCCCCACAGCACTGTCCACAACAGAGTTGCCTGTTCGGCACCGCGAGGAGGCAGGGGGTTGCTCTGCCGGAGGAGCGACGCTCACAACAACGAGTGGAGCGCCGGGTGACTAAAGCACAGTAGGTTGGCACAGTAGGGGGCACAGGTGGTGCATCAGCCAGTCATCTCAGTCATCTTAGTCAGTCGACCCGTGGCACTTAGGTCTGCCCCGTGACCTCCTGCACATGGCCTGGCACAAGCGTCGTGGTGACGTCACCGCCACTTAGTGGCGAATGGCGGTTGTTGTTGTGTGTACATGTGTGTGTGTGTTTGTGTGTGTGTGTGTACGTGTGTGTGTGTACATGTGTATGTGTAGGGGAGCGGTAGTGTAGCGGTTAGCGCGCTGCGCTATGAACCTGGCGACCCGGGTTCGATTCCCGCTCACGGCCAACACCAGTGACGATTATCTGAACCGGTCCCGGGCCTTCCCTAGGTCGACTCAACCTCAAATAAATACTTGGTGCGGTGTGTAAACATTGCCACTAGGGAGACAAAGGCGGTCGGGCGTGGTGCTGCCCACCCACCCCCTCGTGTACCGTTCCGGCCTTCATAGGTGCTCGCTAACAGCACTTGCCCCTACAGTCTGTTAAGGCTATATGGGGGATCTTTATCTTTATGTGTGTGTGTAGTCATGGACTGGAGATCGAACCCAGACTCGTAGAAATTCGCTGGAATTGGCTCCTTCCTCCGACCCGGCCATTCCGAACTCCCCGTGTGGTCACCCCCCTCACCCTCCCCAGCAGGGGGGTAAGATCCCGATCCGCTGGACGGCTCCCGAGGCGATAGTGCTGCGCACGTTCACGTGGGCGAGCGACGTGTGGAGCTACGGCGTCGTCATGTGGGAGGTGATGTCCTACGGGGAGCGGCCCTACTGGGACATGAGCAACCAGGACGTGAGTGCAGCTACTGGAGGCCACCACGCTCGACACGCTCGTCACGCTCGTCACACTCATCCACGCTCGTCACACTCGTCACGCTCGTCACGCTCGTCACACTCGTCACGCTCGTCACGCTCGTCACGCTCGTCACACTCACCCACGCTCGTCACGCTCGTCACACTCGTCACGCTCGTCACGCTCGTCACACTCGTCACGCTCGTCACACTCGTCACACTCACCCACGCTCGTCACGCTCGTCACACTCGTCACACTCACCCACACTCGTCACACTCGTCACGCTCGTCACGCTCGTCACACTCGTCACACTCACCCACGCTCGTCACGCTCGTCACACTCGTCACGCTCACCCACGCTCGTCACACTCGTCACACTCGTCACACTCGTCACACTCGTCACGCTCGTCACGCTCGTCACACTCGTCACACTCGTCACGTCACACTCGTCACACTCACCCACGCTCGACACGCTCGTCACACTCGTCACACTCGTCACACTCGTCACACTCGTCACACTCACCCACGCTCGTCACGCTCGTCACACTCGTCACACTCGTCACACTCGTCACACTCGTCACGCTCGTCACGCTCGTCACACTCGTCACACTCGTCACACTCGTCACGCTCGTCACGCTCGTCACGCTCGTCACACTCATCCACACTCGTCACGCTCGTCACACTCGTCACGCTCGTCACACTCACCCACGCTCGTCACGCTCGTCACACTCGTCACACTCGTCACACTCGTCACACTCGTCACGCTCGTCACGCTCGTCACGCTCGTCACACTCGTCACACTCGTCACACTCGTCACACTCACCCACGCTCGTCACACTCGTCACACTCGTCACGCTCGTCACACTCACTCACGCTCATCATGCTCGTCACACTCGTCACGCTTGTCACACTCACCCACGCTCGTCATGCTCGTCACACTCGTCACACTCGTCACACTCACCCACGCTCGTCACGCTCGTCACACTCGTCACGCTCGTCACACTCGTCACGCTCGTCACGCTCGTCACACTCGTCACACTCGTCACGCTCGTCATGCTCGTCACACTCGTCACACTCGTCACGCTCGTCACGCTCGTCACACTCGTCACACTCGTCACACTCGTCACGCTCGTCACGCTCGTCACACTCGTCACACTCACCCACGCTCGTCACGCTCGTCACACTCGTCACACTCGTCACACTCGTCACGCTCACCCACACTTGTCACGCTCGTCACGCTCGCCCCACTTGCCATGCTCGCCCACGCTCATCATGCTCGTCACACTCGTCACACTCACCCACGCTCGTCACGCTCGTCACACTCGTCACGCTTGCCTCTCGGATCGCTCCACCGTTGTTCTCCTGTAACGCGGCAATGTCGGTGGTTGTCGTTGCGCTCCCGAAGAACGCCGCGTTATGGAAAAACCGCGTCATAATAAAGACTCTCTGATGTAGGAGGTGATGCGCGATAACGCCGTGAGATGCGTAGTAACGCAGGGCCTGAACAAAGACCGAGGCGTGTGGTGGGTAGCGTCTAGAAGCATCATCCAGCAGCATCTCAATGCCTCGTGCGATGACGACAATGACGACGGTGACGATGACGATGCTACGCCCAGGCAGCCGTTACGACCACCGCTTATTCCTACTCGCGCTGTGACGTAGCTCTGTTTGCCTGAATCGTGTTACTACATCCAATTGGCGTCTGCGTTAAAAAACAAAAATGTTGTTCCCTGTAATACATTCATCGTCGCGTTGTGTATCCAATTCGCGCCGTGCAAACACCACGTGGCGGTAGAGGAGAACGGACTGCGCTGCGAAAACCTGGCCCTCACGAAACTCAGTGAGGCTCTCCCAGATTGACAAGCGGAATCGTAAAAGTATCAATCTCCATCTCGTCATCTCTTTCTCCGTCTCTCTCCATCTCTCTCCATCTCTTTCTCGCCACCTCTCGCTACAAAATAGTCTTGTTGTCGGTGTTTTGGTTGTTGGTGGTCGAGGTGGTTGTTGAGTTGGTTGTGGTCGCCGCGCAGGTGATGAAGTCGATCGAGGAGGGCTACCGCCTGCCGGCGCCCATGGACTGTCCAGCTGCACTCCACCAGCTCATGCTCGACTGCTGGCAGAAGGCCTGCGCCGACCGGCCCAAGTTCGGCCACATCCTCTCCCTCCTCGACCGCCTCATCCGCAACCCCAACAGCCTCAAGATCCTGGCCAACGCCACCACTAGGTGTCCGGCCCCCATACCCCCGCTCACACTGACCCCCTAAACCTAACACTAAGCCATAGACATTACCCCTTGCACTAGCCCTGAGAGCTAACCCCAAGCCCCGAGCCATAACCTCTAACCCACAGCAGCAGACTGAAGCCCGAGTAGCTGGAGAGTACAGAGGAGGCCTGCGGCCTACTGGAGGCTTGAGCTGGCATAGCTGTAGAGCACAGAGGAGGCTTGCAGCCTACTGGAGGCTTGAGCTGGCATAGCTGTAGAGCACAGAGGAGGCCCGCAGCCTACTGAAGGCTTGAGTTGGCATAGCTGTAGAGTACAGAGGAGGCCTGCGGCCTACTGGAGGCTTGAGCTGGCATAGCTGTAGAGCACAGAGGAGGCCCACAGCCTACTGGAGGCTTGAGTTGGCATAGCTGTAGAGTACAGAGGAGGCCCGCAGCCTACTGGAGGCTTGAGTTGGCATTGCTGTAGGGCACAGAGGAGGCCTGTGGCCTACTAGAGTCTTGAGCTGGCATTGCTGTAGAGCACAGAGGGTGCCCGCGGCCTACTGGAGGCTTGAGTTGGCATTGCTGTAGAGCACAGAGGAGGCCTGTGGCCTACTAGAGTCTTGAGCTGGCATTGCTTTAGGGCACAGAGGAGGCCTGTGGCCTACTGGAGGCTTGAGTTGGCGAAGCGGTCGAGCTGAGTTTCGTCTGCGCTGCCCGTAGGCCACACAACCCGTTCTACGATCAGCACGCGCCGGGCTGTACCGCCTTCTCGTCGGTGGGCGAGTGGCTGGATGCCATCAAGATGGGGCAGTACAAGGAGCGCTTCACCCGCGCCGGATACGGCTCGCTCGACGCAGTCGCCCGTATGACCATTGAGTGCGTCGCCCACCCACCCGCTCACTCACTCACTCGCTCGCTACTGAGTCACTCACTACTCACACTACTCACACTACGCACTCACTACTCACTCACTACTCACACTACTCACTCACTACTCACTCACTACTCACACTACTCACACTACTCACTCACTACTCACTCACTACTCACTCACTACTCACACTACTCACTCACTGCTCACACTACTTACACTACTCACTCATTACTCACACTACTCACTCACTACTCACTCAATACTCACTCGTACTACTTACCCACTACTCTATACTCTCTCGATACTCTACACTCGCAATCTGCTCACTATTCATTCACTTCACTATGCTCATTCGCTCCACACTCACGATGCTATACTCACTATTCACTGCTAACTCAGTACTCATGCACTTCTCACTAATCACTGCTTACTCACCGTCCACTACTTAATTACCGCTCTCTCACCACTTACTCACTATTCAGTCACTACTCAGTCACTCACTACTCACTACTTACTTGGCCCGGCTCATTCCGTAGTGGCCTTAACCCAATCAATCAATTATAAAAACCCGACACTTGTTTTTCCTCTTTCCTCCTCCTCCATCCTCCCGCCTCATCCTCCTCCCTTCTGCTCCTCCTCCTCCTCCATCCATATTCCTCCTCCCACCACCCACGCAGCGACATCCGGCGGACGGGCATCACGCTGGTAGGACATCAGAAGAAGATCACGAACAGCATCCAGTCGATGAGGGCCCAGCTGATGCACGTGGACAACACGGAGGTCAAAGTTTAAACGCAACGGCCGAGCGTGGTGACCCCCGCGGCCGCAACGGCCCAAAACGTCGACACGTGCTCCGGAACCGTTTGTTGGCCCAACGTTTGGACCAACGTTAGGCCCAACGTCGCGGCAATGTCTGGCACCGACGTTGGCCCAACGCCGCCACGGAACGTTTGGCTCCAACGTTTCCGGTGTTGCGTGTGCCGTCGGTAGGCTTGCGGTGTGAAGGTGCAGCCCTGCCCCAAATTCCTTTGCTCACGGCGCCGGCTGGCGGAAGGCGCTCCCACTCGCTCCCCCTTCCCCCCCCCACTGCCCCGCTTAGAGGGGAGGCCGAAGATAGCGCCCCCACACCCCCCCATCTCCTCGCAGGGCGCATCGTTTAAACGTGCACGTGAGGGGCAAAAAGGGGCCGTCGTGGTTTGGGAAGCGCTTCTGCCAGGCTTCTGGTCACTTCGACAACGAGCCTTTACTTTGGCCTACTCTTCCATGTTGGCCACAACGTGCCACCGAAGAGCCGGGAGTTTACCCTCGCTTTAGACCGCCGCCGACTGGCCGTTCGCCCGCCCGCCCGCCCGCCAGCACCCTCGCTCGCCCGCACGTCCGTGTGTGCACGCGGGTGGACACGGACGGCTGGATTTAGGGATAGAAACTCGCACCGTTGGTTTGCGACCACGGTTCCATTCCATCTCCCGGCGCGACGCTCCGGATTGCTAACCACCACGTTGGTCGCCCCCGATACGAGCGGCGGAGGTCACATTTCGACGGGGTTTGTGTCGATATGGGGGGGCTCGGTGGAACGCCAATTTAAAAAATTTTGACGGTAGCCGCCATCTTGGGGTGCTTGCAGGGCGGCCATTGAAAATGGCTGCCAAAGGAGAAAAAAATGTCTGCCTGGAACAAAATGGCGGCCTGGAACAAAATAGCGGCCAGCGGCAATTGGAGGATTCGCCCGTACCTCTCCCGCGCTCACCGCCGCTCTGTTGAGCCTGTGTCTTGCTCCGGTCTGCGGCACTCGAGTCTACGGCATTGGGAGTGCCGGCCTTAACTCTGCAATAGGGACCGTGCGCGCGTGTACGTGCGTGTGTATGTGTGCGTATAAGTGTAGGTGTGCGTGTGTATAGTGATGTAGTGGTGAGGGGTAGTGCAACGGTTAGCGCGCTGCATTACGAACCCGGCTGTGACCCGGGTTCGATTCCCGCTCACGGTCAACACCGGTGACGGTTATCCGATTGGCTCCTGGGCCTCCGCGAGGTCGACTCGGCCTCAAATGAGTACCTGGTACGGTGTGTAGTAAACATTGCCACCGGGGAGACAAAGGCGGCCGGGCGTGGTGTTGGCCACCCATCCCCCTCGTGTGCCGTGCCGGCCTTCAGAGGTGCTCGCTAACAGCACTTGCCCCTACAGTCTGGTAAAGGCTTTCGGGTGGGATTCTTGTCTTTGTATAGCAATATAGTGGGGAGTGGTGGCGCAGCGGTTAGCGCGCCGCGCCACAATGCCCGGCGACGCCGAATCCGATTCCCGCTCGCGACCGACAACGGTGGCAGCGGCAACTTGAACCGGTGCTGGGCGCCCGTCCCCTAGGTCGACTCAGCCTCAAATGAGTGCCCCGTGCGGTGTGCGGTAAGCATCAGCATGGTGCTGGCCACGCCAGACCCTCATAGGTGTGCCGTGCCGGCCTTCGTGGGTGCTGCTCGCTGACAGCACTTGCCCCAACAGCCTGGTAAAGGCTGCACGGGGGGCCTTTGTCTTTTTTTGTATTGCAATGTGCTTTGTATCGCGATGGTGATGCTGTTGCTGCTGTTGTGACGATGATAATGTTATTGCTGCTGTTGTTGTGACGACGGTGATGATGCTGCTGCTGTTGTGACGACGATGACGATGCTGTCGTTGTGACGACGGTGATGCTGCTGCTGTTGTTGTGACGACGGTGATGCTGCTGCTGTTGTTGTGACTACGAGGATGATGCTGTCGACGTTGTCGTGACGAGGTCGATGCTGCTGATGTTGTGACGAGGGCGATGCTGCTGATGGTGTGACGAGGGCGATGCTGCTGATGTTGTGACGAGGGCGATGCTGCTGCTGATGGTGTGACGAGGGCGATGCTGCTGATGGTGTGACGAGGGCAATGCTGCTGATGTTGTGACGAGGGCGATGCTGCTGATGTCGTGACGAGGGCGATGCTGCTGATGGTGTGACGAGGGCGATGCTGCTGATGTTGTGACGAGGGCGATGCTGCTGATGTTGTGACGAGGACGATGCTGCTGATGGTGTGACGAGGGCGATGCTGCTACGCAGTTTTCGAAACTGGGAGGGCGACCGCCCCCCCCCCCCCCCACTGGCGAAGGGCGTTGAGACCGCCGGGGATGTTTGTAGCGGATTGTTTGGGGGGAAGGAACGGGGCGAATCCTAGAGAAGGAATGTGGGGGGGGGGGGGGGTTGTGGGTAAGAGACACCGTGGGGGTTTGTGGGTAATAGACGGTGGCTATGAGATGTTGACTCCCTCGCCTGGTAGGCAGGAGGTCGTGGGTTCGATCCCGACCCTGACGACGCCTGCTGCTGCTGTCTATTTGGAGTTTGCGGCGTCTCTCTCCCCGTGGTCGCTGCGTGGATTGGTTTCCGGGTATTTGGCTGCCGCTATAAATGTCCACACGACGACGACCATGATGACGACGATGATGACGACGATGATGATGACGAGGATGACGATGATGATGACGATGACGATGACGGTGACGACGATGACGACGATGACGACGATGACAATGATGACAATGATGATGATGATGACGATGACGATGACGATGATGACGAGCAGTTGAGTAGGGCCTCACGCAGTTGAGTAGGGCCTCACCTGGTCACTATAAAACAAGTTTAAAAGTCTTAATCGATTAACATTTTGGGGTGATTTTGTTTGTACAAGGCCGCACGCTGCCGATGAGACCCAGGGAGGCGGAATCCTGGTCCGCGGTTCAAACGAAAGCTGCCGGGGGCATTGATTTAATTATTTAATTTATTCTCTTCATCATCGTGGTGGTGGTGGTCACGGTGGTTGTGATCACGGTGGTGAGCACGGTGGTGGTGGTGGTCACAGTGCTAAGCCGCATCTTCCAGTCGGTGGGGATTCTCATCCTCGTGTGGCTACTGCCTTGTTGGCGTTAGTCTCAGCCGCGTGGTGACCCCACGTGGTGACCCCGTGTGGTGACCCCGTGTGGTGACCCCGCGTGGTGACCCCGAGTGGTGACCCCGCGTGGTGACCCCGCGTGGTAACCCCACGTGGTAACCCCACGTGGTAACCCCGAGTGGTGACCCTGTGTGGTGACCCCGTGTGGTGACCCCGAGTGGTGACCCCGAGTGGTAACCCCACGTGGTAACCCCGAGTGGTGACCCCGTGTGGTGACCCCGAGTGGTGACCCCGCGTGGTGACCCCGCGTGGTAACCCCACGTGGTGACCCCCCCCCCCTCGCTTCTAAGTCACCACGCGGATTGAAATGGTTTTGGACCATCCTCATTCTACAACTGGCAGATCCACGCGTGGCCACTCGTTCTCATGTACGGCGTCATCACCTCGCGCCTGTCTGTGACCGCCACCTCGTGTGCCACCAACCCCCTGGGACGTGGCCACGTGCCACTAACCCCTGGGACACGGCCACGTGCCACCAACCCCCTGGACACAGCTCGGGGGTGGCGGATCGTTCGTGACCGCTCAGTGCGGAGTCTGCGACGTCGCACCGCATGCGAGATGAACTCGTGAGCTTTTAGATGGACCCCTTGCCCAGAGGTTTAGCGGCGGCACTGTCGGTGGCCAGCGGTGGGAAATTCCACGTTCCTATGGCAGGGGGGCCCTGGGTAGTGGGGGGGGTCCAGTATGGTTTTGTAGGCATTGTTGGTGATACTCGTGTGTGTGTGCGTGTGTGTGGCGGAGCCAGGAGATTGAATCTTTACCCTCGGGGCTCCTCCAGAAACAACAAAAAGCCGCTACGGATGGCCACGTGGAATGTTCGAACGCTCACTGCGGAGGAGAGGCTGCCACTCCTCTGTCGGGAGCTGGACCGGTACCGCCTGGATATCTGTGGCATTCAGGAGGTCCGGTGGACCGGCTCTGGCTCCTGCCACCATGAGGGGTGGACAGTCCTCTACTCGGGGCAGCAGACTGCCAAACAACAGGGTGTGGCTCTTCTTTTGAACAAAAGAATGAAGGGGGCGTGGGAGCGTGGCGGTGAGGTGTGGGAAGCTGTCAGCCTCAGGCTACTTTGGGCTCGCCTTCCCATAAACCGGAGGCGAGGTGGTGGTCGTGGTTACTTATGCCCCCACTGAAGACGAACATCCGTGTAGGGATGCAGGCAAAGCCGATGAGTCAGATGCCTTCTATGACCTGTCACAGGTGCTGGCCAAAGTGGCCCCTCGGGATAGAGTCATCTTGTTGGGCGACTTCAATGCCCGAGTTGGTCATGATGCTGGCACCTGGTCTGGAGTGATTGGAAGGCATGGGCCAGATCAGCACAATAACAACGGTAGGAGGCTGCTAGATTTTTGTGCAGCCCATGGGCTTGTAATTACTAATACGCTGTTCCGGCATCGGCACATCCACACAACATCATGGATGCATGCCGGGTCCAAGCAAGAACATCTGCTGGACTACATAGTGACGGACCAGCAGATACGAGCCCATGTTCTTGACACCAGGACCTACCGTGGAGCTGATCTGGCCTCTGACCATCGACTAGTCATCTGTAATATGCGCTTGCCATTCTTCCACTCCGTTGGTGGGTGTACACCCAGGACCCCATCACAACCTAAGGTGGCCTGGTCTCAGCAAGCTGATGGAATCTGCAAGCGAGAATTTCATCACCGCTTGTGGCTGGGGTTGGCATCGTCCCCCACTCCTCCTGATGTCGAGGGTAAATGGGCGAGGTTTTGGACTGTGACTCACGCAGCTGCAATGGCTGCTTTGGGTACGCGGTCCAGACCTCCCCAGAGACCCTGGCTGACAGAGGAGGTGTTTAGGATGGTTGAGAAAAAGCGACAGGCCCACTCTAATTGCCTACAGCATCCCACGTCAGAGAATGAGGAGGTTTACCGCAGCCTTCACTCCGAGGTTCGGAGAGCCGTGAGGCACTGCAAGAATGGGTGGTGGTCACGGGTTGCTGAGGAGATGGAGTCTGCCTCACTGGCCTGCGATAACAAATCCCTATTTGACTCCATCAAAAAAGTAACCTGCAGCACCACACCTATTACCATCATTAGGGGAAAAAACAGTGTTCCAACCCCCAGGAACAGGTTTGCAGATTTGCTGAGCATTTCTGTGAAGTCGTGGGGGAGGGGAAATCCCTCCACATGGAAAACATCGTGGGACAAAGTGGGGATGACCCTGCTGATGCTGCGGTGCCTCAAATATTGGAAGAGGAAGTCACCCCCTTTGAGTGGCTGTCTGAAGTGCCATCTGTTGAGGAAGTACTGAAAGCGATCCAGAGTTTGAGACCAGGAAAGGCACTGGGCAGAGATGATCTCCCAAGCGAAATGCTGAGGGAAGGTGGCGTTTGTGCACAGACTGCCGTACATGACATCATAAGAACAGTCTGTACCACTGGACGGGTTCCGCAGGACTGGAAGGATGCCCTGATGGTCCCCATCTTTAAGAAGGGAAACCGCACAGACTGTAACAACTACAGGGGCATCTCACTCCTCAGTGTGCCGGGAAAGGTCCTGGCAAGGATTATTCAACATCGCCTTGCTAGGCACACTGAGGAGAGGCTTGCGGAACCCCAATGCGGTTTCAGGAAAGGGCGGTCCTGCACAGATGCCATATTTTAAGTCTGTCTGCTACAGCATAGGTATACGAAATTCCAACAAGACCTACATCTCTGCTTTATTGATCTGGTCAAGGCCTATAATACCATCAGTAGGCCTGGGCTCTGGGTTGTCCCTGACTCGCTGCTCACAATCATTAAGGACCTTCATGATGGTGAGCGGGCCCGGGTAATACTACGTGCCCGGGAGTCGGAGCCATTCCCTGTTCACCTTGGGGTGCGACAGGGATGTCCTCTGGCTCCAACATTATTTAACATCTTTTTTGACCACGTAGTTCATGAAGCCTTCAGTAGCTGTACCGGAGGAATTCCATCTGGTACAGATACAATGGGAGGCTGATCGATGCCCGGGTGCGGTCAAGGGATGGCTCCCTATTGGTCAACCACGTTATGTATGCCGATGACCTGGTTATTGAACCATCGGGCACTCCACCCCTACAACTCCCAATCGGTGATGGGGCAGTTGTGGAGAGAGTGCAGAGTTTCCCATACATGGGCAGTGTACTCATGACCGTCTCTGATTTAACAGAAGAGGTCTCACTCCGAATCAGTCGAGCGGCATTATCTTTTCATCGGTTGCGTAACACTGTGTGGAAGCTACCTGGTCTGTCGCTCCGCACAAAGCTTCAGGTCTTCTCGGTCACAGTCATTCCCTCCCTTCTCTATGCTTGCGAAACGTGGAACCCCCTAATGGAGCATCTTTGCCGGTTAGAAACATTTAGGCTGGCCTGCCTACGATCAATCCTGGGTTTAATCAGGCTGGATTGTGTGAGGAGCTCACAATTCCTCGAAAGATCTGGACAAAGTCCCATTGGTGAGCTCCTCCGGCAAGCAAGGCTGCATTGGCTGGGTCATGTAGCCCACATGCCCAATCACTGCATGCCCAAACAGCTTTTGTTCGGCCGGATCGAGGGGGCTAAACGGGCGTGGCATGGGCTAGAGAGGAGATGGAGTGATGTGGTACAGGAGGACGTGGAGCTGAGTGGACTTGCCGATGACTGGTACCAGCGGTGTCAAGATCGGCCTCTGTGGAGGAGGCTCGTGAAGGACGCTGCTGGGCAGTTGGAGGCAGTCGCCCTCCAACAACAACGGAGGGTGGAGGAGCGACGCTCACAACAACGAGCGGAGCGCCGGGTGGCTAAAGCACAGCAGGTTGGCACAGTAGGGGGGCACAGGTGGTGCATCAGCCAGTCATCTCAGTCAGTCGACCCGTGGCACCTTGGTCTGCCCCGTGACCTCCTGCCAGCGGGCGTTCGACACTTCACGTGGCCTCAAGGTGCACATGGCCTGGCACAAGCGTCGTGGTGACGTCACCGCCACTTAGTGGCGAATGGCTGTTGTTGTGTAGGTGTGTGCGCGTGTGTGTGTATATATATGTGTGTGTGCGTGCGTGTGTGGGCCTTGGGGAGCGGTCAGCGCTGCACTACGCGACGACCCGCCAGAGGTCCCGAGTTCGATTCCCGCTTGTGACCAACAACATTGACGGCGAGTGTCTGAAACCGGTCCTGGGCCCTCCCCTAGGTCGACTCAGCCTCACGAGCGAGTACGTGAGTGCAACAAACATCAGCACCGGCGGGCGGGGCGGGAGACAAAGGCGGCCGGGTTTGGTGCTGGCCACTCCCCGTCGCGCGTGTGCCGTGCCGGCCTTCTCAATAGGTGCTCGCCAACAGCACTCGCCCCAACAGCCTGTCGCGAAGGCTGCACGGGGTGGTGGCTTTGTCTTTGTGTATATAGACATACAGTATGTATAACCAGCCTGTGAACATTGAATATCGTCATAACCCCGATCGACTTCACTCGGGCTCATGACGGGAAGGGGATCCGTGGTGTCGACAGAGAGGGAAGCCACGTGGTGCCACTACATCCCACGTGGTGCCACGACATCCCACGTGGTGCCACGACATCCCACGTGGTGCCACTACATCCCACGTGGTGCCACTACATCCCACGTGGTGCCACTACATCCCACGTGGTGCCACGACATCCCACGTGGTGCCACGACATCCCACGTGGTGCCACTACATCCCACGTGGTGCCACTACATCCCACGTGGTGCCACGACATCCCACGTGGTGCCACTACATCCCACGTGGTGCCACTACATCCCACGTGGTGCCACTACATCCCACGTGGTGCCACTACATCCCACGTGGTGCCACTACATCCCACGTGGTGCCACGACATCCCACGTGGTGCCACTACATCCCACGTGGTGCCACTACAACCCACGTGGTGCCACTACAACCCACGTGGCGCCACTACATCCCACGTGGTGCCACTACATCCAACGTGGTGCCACTACATCCCACGTGGTTCCACTACATCCCACGTGGTGCCACTACATCCCACGTGGTGCCACTACATCCCACGTGGTGCCACTACATCCCACGTGGTGCCACTACATCTCACGTGGTTCCACTACATACCACGTGGTTCCACGACATCCCATGTGGTGCTACTACATCCCACGTGGTGCCACTACATCCTACGTGGTGCCACTACATCCCACATGGTGCCACTACATCCCACGTGGTCCCACTACATCCCACGTGGTGCCAGTACATCACACGTGGTGCCAGTACATCACACGTGGTTCCACTACATCACACGTGGTTCCACTACATCCCACGTGGTTCCACTACATCCCACGTGGTTCTACTACATCCCACGTGGTTCCACTACATCCCACGTGGTGCCACGACATCACACGTGGTGCCACGACATCCCACGTGGTGCCACTACATCCCACGTGGTGCCACTACATCCCACGTGGTGTCACTACATCCCACGTGGTTCCACTACATCCCACGTGATGCCACTACATCCCACGTGATGCCACTACATCCCACGTGGTTCCACTACATCCCACGTGATTCCACGACATCGCACGTGGCCCAGCATCGTCGTCAGCATCGTCATCAGCAGCATCGTTCAGCTCGGACTCTTTACGTCGATCAGTTCCAAGGTGTGGCTTGACCACAGCGTGCTAAGGCCACTCTGAGTGTGTGACAGCTCACAACACCTCGCTGCTGCTGCTGCTGTCGTCAAGGACTGTAAACCATCACCGCGCCAACCCCTCGGTCATCCTCGCAGCAGCGGAGGCTTTTGGCTCGGCCACCGAACAAGACGGTGGTCACCGCGTCATCGCGCGGCGCTTTCAGATCCACTTCTGCGGCCGTCTGGAACGCTCTTGCTTCCGATATTAGAAATCCACTGGGAGCGATGATGCACTTTTGACAAACTCACTTCTTGAGAACCGCTTCTTGTTGTTGTTGTGCTTAGTTTGTTGTCCTTCCCCCGCACCTCCGATGAGCATCGTTGGCTACGTACGGCGCAAAAGACGTTCAACGTACACACAGACTGTTACATGAGCCCCAGTTGCTGCTGCTGCTGCTGATGATGACGATGATGATTGATTACGATTCATGATATAAATCACACGATGGTGACGACGATGATGGCGGTGGTCTATGACGCCACGCACGTAGCTCTTGAGTGCGGGTTCTGGTTGTCGACGTTCTGGCCACCGCGTGCGATGAGTAACACGATGGCCGCCGTGACGACGAAGGTGGTCTTGTGACGTCACTAATCACGTGGCTCTCGAATGGGAACCCCTCGTGAGCCGGGTTCTGGTTGTCGACGTTCTGGCCACCGCGTGCGATGAGTAACACGATGGCCGCCGTGACGACGAAGGTGGTCTTGTGACGTCACTAATCACGTGGCTCTCGAATGGGAACCCCTCGTGAGCCGGGTTCTGGTTGTCGACGTTCTGGCCACCGCGTGCGATGAGTAACACGATGGCCGCCGTGACGACGACGGTGGTCTTGTGACGTCACTAATCACGTGGCTCTCGATTGGGAACCCTTCGTGTGCCGGGTTCTGGTTGTCGACGTTCTGGCCACCGCGTGCTGGGCTGGCTGCGGGCCAGAAGCCTCGGTGTGGTCATTGCCCGTGCAGTGCACCACGTGACGCCTGTCCACCCCTCACCACCCCTCACCACCCCTCACCCCCCCCCACCCCACCCCCGCCCCCACCCCCGCCTTGCTTACCTTCTTTTGTGACGGTGTTGATCATCAACTTACGTATCATAGTAATAATAATAATAACTTTAACACAAAAAAAAGATTGAAAAAAAACCCCCACTTTACCGTAGTCGTAATAATAAGATTTATTATTAACTTTAAAACCACGTGCACATATCACGGAATATTATATTTATTTATTTTTTGAGATATTAAATGTGATGATCTGGGTGACACGTGTGCCTGCGTGTCTTGTTTTGATGAACTGTTGTGATCGATGTCTGTGTGTGTGTGTGGTGAACTGGGTGATGACTGGTGTGTGTGGTGTCTGTGTGTTTGTTTGTGTGTGTGTAGTCTGTGTGTGTGTGTGATGAACTGGGTGGTGATTGGTGTGTGTGTGTTGTCTGTGTGTGTGTTTGTGTGTGTGTAGTCTGTGTGTGTGGTGAACTGGGTGGTGATTGGTGTGTGTGTGTGTAGTCTGTGTGTGTGTGGTGAACTGGGTGATGACTGGTGTGTGTGGTGTCTGTGTGTTTGTTTGTGTGTGTGTAGTCTGTGTGTGTGTGATGAACTGGGTGGTGATTGGTGTGTGTGTGTGTAGCCTGTGTGTGTGTGGTGAACTGGGTGGTGATTGGTGTGTGTGTTGTCTGTGTGTGTTTGTGTGTGTGTAGTCTGTGTGTGTGGTGAACTGGGTGATGACTGGTGTGTGTATTGTCTGTGTGTGTTTGTGTGTGTCGTCTGTGTGTGTGTGGTGAACTGGGTGGTGATTGGTGTGTGTGTTGTCTGTGTGTGTGTTTGTGTGTATGTAGTCTGTGTGTGTGGTGAACTGGGTGATGACTGGTGTGTGTGTAGTCTGTGTGTGTGTGTAGTCTGTGTGTGTGTGTGTAGTCTGTGTGTGTTGTCTGTGTGTGTGTGTAGTCTCTGTGTGTGTAGTCTGTGTGTGTATTGTCTGTGTGTGTGTGTGGTGAACTAGGTGATGATTGGTGTGTGTTGTATGTGTGTGTTGTCTGTGTGTGTGTGGTGAACTGGGTGATGACTGGTGTGTGTGTGTGTAGTCTGTGTGTGTGTGTAGTCTGTGTGTGTGTGTGTGTAGTCTGTGTGATTGTGTGTGTAGTCTGTGTGATTGTGTGTGGGGAGTGACAGTGGAGTAGTTAGCGCTGCAGCGCTACGAATCCGGCGACCCGAGTTCGATTCCCAATCACAGCCACCAACACCAGCGACGATTATCTGAATCGGTCCTGGGCCTCCCCTGGTGCGGTGTAGTAAACATCGCTATCACTGGGGAGACAAAGGCGGCCGGGCGTGGTGCTGGCCACCCACCCCCTCGTGTGCCACAGTGCCGACCTTCATAGCTGCTGCTACTCGCTACTACCAGCACTTGCCCTGACAGCCTGTTACAGGCTACACGGGGGATCTTCGTGAGTGAGCATCATTCTGCGTGTCTCTCTCTCTGAGTTTCAAGTTCATTGTCTTCATCGCCTCCATGGGCTCCGCGTCTCTCTCTCTCCTCTCTCTATCTCTGCCCCATCTCTCCCCTTCCTCTCACATCGCTCTCCCCCTCTCTCCCTCCCCCTCTCGCCTTTGTCATTCTCGCTGCCTTTTCATGTCTCCCGTATCTCTCCCCACCCCCTTCTCTCCCCTCTCCTTTCCTCCTCTCTCTGCCTCATCTCGCTCCCTCTCTCTCCCATCTATCCCCTATCCCCCCTCTCTCTATATCCCCTCTCCCCCCTCTCTCTCTCTGCCCCCTCTCCCTCCTCTCTCTCTGCCCCCCCTCTCTCTCTGCCCCCTCTCTCTCTGCCCCTCTATGCCCCCTCTCTCCCCCCTCTCTCTCTGCCCCATCTCTCCCCCCTCTCTCTATATCCCCTCTCTCTCTCTCTCTGCCCCCTCTCCCTCCTCCTCTCCTCCCCTCTCACTTTGCTTCGTTCATCATTTCGGGTTTTTTCAATGTGTTGCTTTATGTACCCCCCCCCACCCCCCTTTAAATGAAAGATTTCACAAAAGATTTCACGCTCTGCTCTCCTTACCCCTTCACTCTCTCTCTACCCCCTCTCTCTACCCCCTCTCTCTACCCCCTCTCTCTACCCCCCCCCTCTCTACCCCCTCTCTACCCCCCCTCTCTACCCCCCTCTCTCTACCCCCTCTCTCTACCCCCCCTCTCTACCCCCCCCCCTCTCCCTACTCCATGTCTATGTTCCCCCTATGTTTTCTATGTAATATTTGTAATATTATAATTTTTTACTACGACAAGTGCCGCATCTGCACTCAGCCCTTCTCGCAGTCCTACGGCCTCCGACGGGTAGCTCACAATGTGCACGCACAGAGCTCTCTACCGTCTTCTGCCACCGAGCACACGGCCTCCTCCAGTGCCCACTGCTCCTTGAAGGCCGGCACGGCGTGGGTCAGCCGCGCACGGCAGAACTCCGGCCCACACACCCTGGCTCCGACCGGAGCGCGGAAGATGCCCTGGCTGCTGGCTGGACGTTGCCCCTCCAGGGCCACCTTCCTCACCCTGTGCACGGCGAGCTTGGCGTAGCCTAAGAGCACCTTGACCGGCCCCTGAAGATGTTGGGGTCCGTCGCCCTTCGGGTACCCAAAGATGAGGACCGTCGGGGAGAAGTGGAGGCTGAACCTTAGGAGGATGTTTCTCAGGACCTTGAACAGCGAGTCCAGGCTCTTGCACTCCACATATTGGTGCGCCACCATCTCTCCCCCTCTCTCTTACATCGCTCTCTCTCACTCTCTCTCACTCCCCCTCTCTCCCTCTCACCCTCTCACCATCTCACCCTCTCACCATCTCACCCTCTCTCCCATTTCTCCCCTGTCTCCTCAATCTCTCCCCTCTCTCCCCCATCTCTCCTCTCTGTCCCCATCTCTCCCCCATCTCTCCCCTCTCACCCCCCCCCCCCCATCTCTCCCCTCTCTCCCCCATCTCTCCTCTCTGTCCCCATCTCTCCCCCATCTCTCCCCTGTCTGCTCTCTCTCTCTCGCCCTCTCTGCTCTCCCTCCTGTCCTGTCTCTTTGTGAAGAACCCCATTTGTACATTTTAATGGTGTCATAGGGTCACATCCCCCGCAGCGACACACACACACACCTACACACACCTACACACACATAGCTACACACACACCTACACACACAGCTACACACACACACCTACACACACCTACACACACACAGCTACACACATAGCTACACACACACAGCTACACACATAGCTACACACACACAGCTACACACCCCTACACACACAGCTACACGCACCTATACACACAGCTACACACACACAGCTACACACACACACCTACACACACCTACACACACACACCTACACACACACACCTACACACACACACCTACACACACCTACACACACCTACACACACACACCTACACACACCTACACACACACACCTACACACACACACCTACACACACCTACACAAACACACCTACACACACACACCTACACACACACACCTACACACACCTACACACACCTACACACACATACACACACCTACACCTACACACACCTACACCTACACACACCTACACACACACACCTACACACACACACACCTACACCTACACACACACACCTACACACACACCTACACACACACCTACACACACACCTACACACAAAGATCCCCCATATAGCCTGTAACAGACTGTAGGGGCAAGTGCTGTTAGCGAGCACCTATGAAGGCCGGAACGGTACACGAGGGGGTGGGTGGCCAGCACCACGCCCGACCGCCTTTGTCTCCCTAGTGGCGATGTTTACACACCGCACCAGGTACTCATTTGAGGCTGAGTCGACCTAGGGGAGGCCCGGGACCGGTTCAGATAATCGTCACTGGTGTTGGCCGTGAGCGGGAATCGAACCCGGGTCGCCAGGTTCATAGCGCAGCGCACACACACACCTACACACACACACCTACACACACCTACACACACCTACACACACACAGCTACACACACAAACATACACACACACAGCTACACACCTACACACACACAGCTACACACACACACCTACACACACCTACACACACACAGCTACACACACACCTACACACACAGCTACACACACACACACCTACACACACCTACACAACAACAACAACCGCCATTCGCCACTAAGTGGCGGTGACGTCACCACGACGCTTGTGCCAGGCCATGTGCACCTTGAGGCCACGTGAAGTGTCGAACGCCCGCTGGCAGGAGGTCACGGGGCAGACCCAGGTGCCACGGGTCGACTGACTAAGATGACTGGCTGATGCACCACCTGTGCCCCCTACTGTGCAAACCTGCTGTGCTTTAGCCACCCGGCGCTCCGCTCGTTGTTGTGAGCGTCGCTCCTCCGCCCTCCGTTGTTGCTGGAGGGCGACTACCTCCAACTGCCCAGTAGCGTCCTTCACGAGCCTCCTCCACAGAGGCCGATCTTGACACCGCTGGTACCAGTCATCGGTAAGTCCACTCAGCTCCACGTCCCCCTGTACCACATCACTCCGTCTCTTCTCTAGCCCGTGCCGCGCCCGTTTAGCCCCCTCGATCCGGCCGAACAAAAGCCGTTTCGGCATGCGGTGGCTGGGCATGCGGGCTACATGACCCAGCCAACGCAGCCTTGCCTGCCGGAGGAGCTCAGCGATGGGACCGTGCCCAGATCTTTCAAGGATTTGTGAGCTCCTCACACAATCCAGCTTGGTTAAACCCAGGATGGATCGTAGGCAGGCTAGCCTAAATGTTTTTAACCGGCGAAGATGTTCCATTAGGGGGGTCCACGTTTCGCAAGCGTAGAGAAGGGAGGGAATGACCGTGGCCGAGAAGACCTGAAGCTTAGTGCGGAGCGACAGACCAGGTAGCTTCCACACAGCGTTACGCAACCGATGAAAAGATATTGCCGCTCGACTCATTCGGAGTGAGACCTCTGCTGTTAAACTGGAGCCGGTCATAAGCACACTGCCCAGGTATGGGAAACTCTCCACTCTCTCCACAACTGCCCCATCACCGATTGGGAGTTGTGGGGGTGTAGTGTCCGATGGTACAAAATACCCAGGCAGGTGCTTAGTTTTGGTGGGGCTGCTGGTAAGGCCCCACCTCTTAGTGGCACGCTCCAGTCTCACCAGCAGCGTCTCCAACTCCTCTGAATGAGCGGCTATTACCAAATCATCGGCATACATTACGTGGTTGAGCAATAGGGAGCCATCCCTTGACCGCACCCGGGCATCGATCAA